GGCGCAAAGGATCAATAAAACCCTGAGGCTGAACCTTATAAACCGTCTCATGAAAGACACCATTGAGAAATGCATTGCTAACATCAAGCTGTCGAACTAACCATCCACGAGACAAAGCAACTGTAAGAACAGTACGAATAGTAACCGGCTTGACAATCGGACTAAACGTATTAGTATAATCAACACCAAAAGACTGGGTAAAACCTCGAGCCACCAGACGCGCCTTATAGCGCTCAATAGAAGCATCCGCACGGGTCTTAATCTTATACAGCCATCGATTCCCAACAACATTTCCAGAGGAAAGAGGAGGAACAAGAGTCCAGGCATGATTTTTTTGAAGAGCAGAGATCTCATCCTACATAGCAAGTTGCCACGGAGGAAGAGATTTGGCTTGAGTGAAGGAAGTGGGAGTAACTGGAAGAGAGGGAAAGGAAGAGGTAGACTGAGTAAGATGTGCAAATTTAGTCTTTGTAAGAGTGGTGGGACAAAGTTGCATGGTGTGACGACGAAGAGGACAGGGTCAGGCGTAGGAGATTCAGGCGCAGAAGGGTCTTGAGTTAAATCAACAACCAATTTCAGACCCGGAGAAGAAGTGGAAGCAGAAGAAGAAGGAGAAGCCATGGATGGTGACGGACTCACAGGAGGAGAAGGAGCCACGGGATTGAGACTTAAGGGTTCAGAAGACGAAGAAGGTGAAGTAGAAGGAGGAACAACAGGGTTAGACGACGACGCCAACCCAGGAGAGCTAGTGACTTGCAACCAAGGGATAGGAGAAGATGGTGGCAAAGGAGGAGTAGAAAGAGCAAGAGGACGTTTAAAAGGGAAAAATTTCTCATCAAGCTGAACATGACGAGCAACATAAACACGATTAGTGGTGGGATCAAGACATCGATAGCCTAGGTGAGCAGGAGAATAGCCAAGAAAAACACATTGGGTAGAACGGAAAGAGAACTTATGACGATTATAGGGACGAAGTAAGTGATAAACCGCACAGCCAAAAATGCGAAGAAAAGTGTAGTCTGGGGGTTGATGATAAAGAATAGTATAAGGAATTTGACCACGAAGAGGTTTACTGGGATGCCGGTTAATTAAAAACACGGCAGTTTCAAAAGCAAAATCCCAAAACCGAAAAGGAGTACCAGAGTGGCCTAGAAGCGAGAGGCCGAGATCAACAATGTGACGAATTTTTCTCTGAGCAGTACCATTTTGCTCATGAGTATGAGGACAAGCAATACGATGGACAATACAAACGTCTTTGAAAAAGAAATTCAAGGGACGGAATTCACCACCCCAATCAGAATTGATACTTTTAATGGTGGTGCCAAATTGATTTTCAACCAGGGCTTTGAATTGCTTGAAAATTTGAGGAACATTACTTTTATGTTTGATAGGATAGAGCCAAGTAAATAATGAGTAATCATCAACAAAAAGGACAAAATAATGATAGCCATTAAAAGACATGAGAAGAGCAGGTCCCCAAACATCAGTATGAATTAAATCAAGAGGTTTAGCACTACGATGAAAAGTAGAAGACAGACTGACTCGATGCAACTTCCTTAAACATTACGCCTCACATTTTTCAGTGGACATGGACAAAGAAGAACAGGGAAGCTGAAACTGCCTAACTAAGGTACGAAGAGTAACATTATTAGGGTGCCCTAAACGAGCATGCCATTGACCTAAAGAAAGAAGGTAAGCCGCCGGAGAGACGGAATCACGAGCAGGGAGGTCCAACTGATAGAGGCCATTGTCAGCCCGACCTCGGAGGAGTAGTTCCTTGGTTGAGAGATCCTTAACACAACAGGAGTCAAAATAGAATTCAAAAAAACAGTGATTATCCTTGGCAAATTTTTGAACAGAGAGGAGAGATTTAGTAAGAGCAGGACCATGCAAGACATGATTTAAATATAAAGGACGGGAAATCGATGGCAAAACAGATTGACCAACATGCGTAACAAGTAAAACATCACCATTACCAATAAGAAGATGATACATACCATTGTAATAATTGGAGATGCTGAGGGAGAACAAGTCCGGAGTTGCATGATCGGTAGCGCCAGTATCCGTATGCCAAGAAGGAGGAGGAGCATCATACTGCACCAAATGAGCTTTTGGAGACACAACTGAATCCGGATAAGGAGTAGGCAGCAACCCTGGCGCATGTGGGAATGGAGAAACAGCCTGAGTGTAAGCAACAGAAGGAGCCGGTTGGCAAGGAACAAAACTAGAGTCAAATCGACGACGACAAGTAGCAGTGGTGTGATTCAAAATGCCGCAAAGTTGACAAGTTGCACCAGGAGCCGAAGGCGTATAACCACGCCGGCCACCACCACGACCACCACGCTGAGAATGACCATTATCACCACCACGTGACGGCGACTGTTGTGCGTTGGGGGCCGAAGAATGCACAATGAAAGCCGAGGATTGAACCACCGGTTGCTGCGCATGAAGAAGGACCTCATAGGAAACCAATTGTGCTAACAAATCCTGGAACGAAGGAGGAGTAGCAAGCTGTTGCAAAGCACCAATAATACCATTATATTCAGCCCTAAGTTTCCGGAAGATAATGGCATTAAACTCCGCCGGCGGAAATATTATGGCCAGCTAGTTGAAGGGAATCAGCAATTCCTTTAGCTTTGTGGAGGAGCGAAGAGAAAGACTGATCACCCTTCTGCAAGTTGTGAAGTTCAAGAACCAGTTGGGTTTGTTGGGCATAAGAGAGGGTACCATACCCTTGTTGCAAAGCCAACCAAGCAGCAGCCGAGGTGGTTGTCGATTGAAGGGTGGGGAAGATATCCTCAGCTACAGAAGAGAATATCCAAGAGAAGACCATCTGGTCCTTTTGCTGCCACACATCGAAGGCCGGATTGAGGGCAGGCGGCGCTTCACCAATGGCAGGAAGCAAACGTGGCGGCGCGGGCTCCGAACCATCAACAATTCCGGAGACTTTAAACATGTTCAGTGAGGGAGCGAACTGCAAGCGCCATGCTGGGTAATTCACCCGGGGCTGAAGCTTGACAGTAAAAGAGTGATTCAGCGACTGAAGACTCGGTTGAAGATTGATGAGAGGACCGGCAACAGAAGAACTTGCGGGTTGAGAAGTGGCACCGGAGTTGGAAGAGAGTTCAAACATGATGACAGTAGAAGGAACCAAACCGGAATTGCCAAACCGGATGGCAGCAGCAAAAAGATGAGCCGGTGGCAAGGAAACCAGGTGGTAGCAGCAGCAGGGAACCAGGATTAGCGACCAAACCGAGCTGCCGAACCGGATGGCAGCAGGAAGGGTTGAACCGGCGGCAAGGAAGACGCTGGCAGCGAACGAATGGTTGTAGAAGCTGGCAGGAAGAAGCTGGCAGCAGCAGCAGTAGGAAGGCAGCGAACGAATCGGACACCAAAGGCGGCAGCGAGCGAATCTGGCAGCGTCGGCGGCGGGAAGAAGCTGCTTGTTGGAGAAGGACCGGCGGTGGCGGCGAGAAGAACAAAAACTAGAAAAAAAAAAACGGTGGCCTGCTGGGGAGGAGACGAAGCTTAGGCGACCGAGACAATGAGGCGATGCGCAAGAAAAAGAAGGTTCCAGCAACGGAAAAAAAAGAACAGGAAGCAAGGGAAGAGAGAAAGAGAGAGGCCGGCTGATGAGCAGAGTGACAGCAAGGCCGAGGAAGAGGAAGACGAAGGGTTGCTGCGGCGGCGGAGACGAGACGGCCGACCGAATAAAAAACCCTAGCTCTGTACCAAGTTAGAAAATATAGATAGCTTTCAGTTATTGATTGTATACATATACAAGGCTATATATATACACATAGGGAAACCCTAATACACAATTACTAGGGTAAAACATATTTAGTACAATATGAAGAATACAAAGAATCAAGGCGTGCATCAAAGCACTAATCCACTACTTGAAATTCTTAGGGTTCACTTCCAGATGGACGAATCGTTGCAGTGAAGAGATTGTCTCGAGGCTCATCACAAGGTACAGCAGAGTTCATTAATGAAATTGCACTTGTTGCCAAACTTCAGCACAGAAATTTGGTTCGGCTACTGGGTTATTGCCTAGAGGGAGAAGAAAAACTACTCATTTATGAATATGTTCCTAACAGAAGCCTTGACTTCTTCATTTTTGGTAAGGCATCATGTACATTATTTAACTGTTTCAAACTTTCAATTAGTTGAAACAAGAAATTTGATCTATGAACTTTTTGTATCTTACGATGCAGATCGAGAGAAGAGATCTTTGTTAAATTGGTCAACACGTTATAAAATCATAAAAGGAACGAGTAGAGGACTTCTTTATCTTCACGAAGATTCTCGCCTGAAGATAGTACATCGAGATCTTAAAGCAAGTAATGTGTTATTAGACCAAAACATGAACCCAAAGATCGCGGATTTTGGCATGGCAAAACTTTTTGAAAACGATCAATCTAGAGCAAACACAAACAAAATTGCAGGAACATAGTAAGTTTTGCTTCCCAATGATATAGTAATTACAAACACTAATGTTGACATGAAACCATGACTAGTTTTAGCCTGTGAGATTTCCTTTCTCGATTTTGTTCATTCTATAAACTAAAACATTGAAGTCTTTATTCATTCATTATAGTGGTACTGGTATTCACCCATTACCACTTTAGATGATATCACACTAATTATTTTGTTTGCTTGTTGATTTTTTGAAATTGTGGAAGTGGTTACATGGCGCCGGAATATGTACTGCGTGGCCATTTCTCGATCAAGTCAGATGTATTTAGCTTTGGTGTTATAATTCTGGAGATCATTAGTGGCAAAAAGAATAGTAACTTCCCGCAATCACATGGTGACGACCGCGATGACCTCATACGCTATGTAAGTTTTTTCTCTTTCCAAAAATTTGGTAGAATGAAAGGAGGTAAAAGGATAACTAAATAGCAATTGAGAATTTTACATAATTGAGAATTGAATTTTTATTTATTTTTTGTTCCTTGAACGATGGCATAATTTGCCGTGCTCCATGAATTTTGTAGGCTTGGAGACAATGGAGGAATGGGATGCCACTAGCATTGCTCGAACCGAGCATCAGAGATTCCTGCGATCAACAGGAAGTGATTCGATGTATTCATATCGGTTTATTATGTGTTCAACAAGATCTTGAACTAAGGCCTACCATGGCCTCAATAGTTCTGATGCTTAGTAGTCACTCTATTACACTGCCAAACCCGAATCCACCTGCATTCTTCTTGGACCATAGTCAAATACAGACAATTCCGACGGAGCAACCTGTTGCGCAGTTCAATCAATCCTCAACAAATGATGTCTCAATTACTGAACTTTCTCCTAGATAAAATAGATGTGAAAACAAAAAATCTTGTAATACATCCTTCTTCTCCTTTATTTTTCATATTCTCTTCACAATTTTATTTTTGGAAATGTAGTGGACTCTGGATTCATAATCAGGTCGAACAGAGATCATTTTTTTACGTCTATTCTTAACAATACTTATCCGGGAAGGGAAAAAAAAATTTGAACCTATGAATGTCTACTTTTTATAATGTATACTATCTCTTTTTACAATGTAAGTCCATTTGAGTGACACAAATATTAAGAGTTACTCTCTCCATTTAAAAATGTAGGTAGTTTTATGTTTGAAGAAATATATCAAAATGTAGGTCGTTTAGGATTTCAAAGTAAATTAAAGATTAATTCTCCAACTTTGCCCCTAATAAATAATACTAAGTATTTTTCATCTATTTTTTTCTTTTTTTAAAAAAAAAAATTGGATGGCCCCAGCGAGAATCGAACCCTCGACCTCCTGGTAATAACCATCCCCCATCCTAATTCCCTAAGTACCCCACCCACACTATTTTTCATCTAGTATGGTTATAGTTCCAAAACAATTAATAATGAGTAAAATAGATATTTAACACACAAATTAATTATTAAATGATTGTCTCCTTGGTATACGTGCATAGTCTAAAGTGACTTATATTTTGAAATGAAGGGAGTAATAATTAACAAAGATAAAATGTCTAATTTAACCTTAATTAATAAGACCAACTACTACTTAACTCAAAATCATTATAGAGATAAGGGTAAAATAAACAAAATTATGCATTAGGATACAAAGTGAATTTATATTTTGACATAACCCAAAATAGATACTAAACTTATTAGTGTTTACCCCGCACGTTGTGCGGGTAGCTCAAGATATATCTGAGTTTAATGATCTAACGATTATACGACATGTCAGACAAAGTGATATATGTATATATATATAATATTAATGATATAAATTGAAATTTTGTAATTTTTAATGTCATGTATTTTGTTGTTTTAAGTACATTTGAAATAATTTTCGATATTTGAAATCATGTAATGTAACTTATTATCCTTTTTTTTCCTTTTGTTGATTTATAGTTTTATGATTTAAAAATATTCTCTTAATTTTTCGTAATCATTTATATAAATTTTTCTACCCGTGTCATATCTTATAAATTCTTCCTCTAATAGAAAAGTTTTCACTTTATACTTCCATGGAGTTATCTATTTTCCATCCCTCCATATACCTTTTGCAACTTTTTTTTTTTTTGAAAGTTTCTTCGTAGATTTTTCCTATAATATAATTTTTACTTTTCTTTTTTTGGGTTATATAGTCTTCCACTTTTCTTTAAAGCTTAATTTCTTGATAATTTTGTAATAATTACCTCATTTTCACTATTATTTTCCTTCAAAACTTAATTATTTTTATTTTTTTCAATCTCCACATATTTTTTCCTCCATATATATATATATTTTAATTTCTTAAATAGTTTTCTTCTACTATTTGTCTCTCACAAGGACATTTATTATTTTCTCATTTTGGAAAACTTTCTGCGTATTAATCTCTATGTTTTGTTTTATTATCATAACGTTAACTTTTTTCTACCACTATATCATATGAGAAAATATAATGAATATATTATATTAATTATTAGATTAATTTATTAGTAATCATTTGTTATATTATTATTTTATAATATATATAGAATATAATATATTTTTATATCATTAAAATGCTTGTCAAGCAATATAAAATTATATTCTTAGTATTATTATTATTTTACTTTTTTTTCCTTCTAGAATTTTTGCACAATGTAATTAACAATAATCAGCCCGTTAATGGGAAAAAATATATTACCATAAAAAACATTTACAATCAAAGCACCACTGAAATAAAATAACTATAGAATCAATATTAATAGGTAAATTAATTTTTTCTTGTTATGGCTGTCAGGGTTTTTTTTTTTAAAGAAAAATTGATTTTTTTTTTATTTATGTTTCTCTTCATCAAAGTGTGTTTTGGGTTGGGGGGAGGGAGGGGACCGACTTATGTGAGGGAGTTAACTTTACTCTCTTTTTTATTTTTTAAACTTTTGTAATTTTTAGTAAATTTAGTTTTTTTTTTTTTACAATTTTTACGTTAAAAAATTACCATTAAATGATGGGGTGATGTGGTTGCGACATGTGGACTTGTCTATCTAATTTTACTCAATGTGTTCGATTAAAAACTCTTCTTTAATATATTAAAGATATTCTGAAAAAGAGATAGTATCATTTTTTTTCTGTAAAGCAATAACTTTACTGCATCTATCCCAAACTTATTGTACGGTCTATATTTTCACACGTAGTGCAATTTAAACTAAAAATGAAAAATTTAAATGTAATGATAATTTAGGTACGAATGGAGTAAAATTCATTCATCATTAGGGTAAGTACATGATTTCTCCTTATACTTAATATAAAGGCACAGTAGGCAAGAAATTAAATGTCCAAGAAATATTCAAGACCACCTTCGAAACGATTTCGTCCGTCGGATAGGGTTGATATGATGTCAGCGACTTATTAGGGACAAAAAAGAGAATTAATAATTTCGGTTTTCCAATAATTAATAATTAAAAATTTGAATTTGAGAAAAAGAAGTAATTTTTTGGGAAAATTTGGATTAGGGGAGGTACCCAACTTCCATCTTCAACCTTGCATCTTTCTCCAGCGATAGATCAGTTAATTTTTTTCTCCCCTATATTTGTTTAAGTGTCTTACGCCTTGTGGTTTTCTTGATCCCCTTTTATGCTGAATTGGTTGTTGCGAGAATTAATCGGATTGGTTTCGGCTTGGTTTTTGCGTGCGAACTTTGGAGGTGAGAATTTTCACTTCTTTGGCTTTTCACTCTTCTTAATTGGGAAGAGGTTATTTGATTTCGGTTCTTAATTTTATACATAGTTTTTGTTTTATTGAATCCTGGGATTTTGTTTTTTGGCTGCTGTTTGTAGACTTGAGCTGCAAACTCCCTTTCTGTTTAAGCAAAATTAGGATTATGTTTAAAAACTGAACTGTTTTATGAAGTAATAAGGAGTAAGTATGGAGTAATAATAGCACAAACCCAAAACAATTTAGTTAACACTTTTATCTTTCAACGGTGAACAATTAGCAACAACACAAAAGGTAGCTTTCATTCATTATTTCGTCATTAGATTTGATTATAGTTTTTTTTTTTATTTTTTTAATAAAATGATTTGGGCCAGCATTTCGTAATCATTGTTAATTAATAAATTTTGCAATGACTCTCGGCTAAGAAAATTTTTGTTCCAATTGCTTTTTCTTTATAATTAAAAAAAGTAATAATCCTGGGCTTGTTTTTGGTTTTTAATTTCATGATTTTTATTATATATAAAGGCGCAGTAGGCAAGAAATTAAATGCCCAAGAAATATTCATGAGCACCTTCAAATTGATCTCGTCCGTCGGATAGGGTAGATATGATGTCAGCGACTTATTAGGAACAAAAACCGGAATTCATAATTTCGGTTTTCCAATAATTAATAATTAAAAATTTGAATTTGGGAAACAGTAGTAATTTTTTGGGAAAATTTAGATTAGGGGCGGTAGAGAGATCTAAATTAATAAAATGGGTATAACTCTTCCATAATTTGAATTAGAGGTAGCGATTTACTTTCTAAAATTTAAAAAATTAAAATATTTATCCTTTCACATGATTGCCCTTATTTTGTATTACATAAAAAATTTAAAAAACAACAAAATCCATTTTTCTCTTGTCTTTCGTTCTTGGCTAAAATTTCTGGATCCTGAAAGCATCTTCTGCAGAATCACAAGTATCATTCACAACTATCTAATTAATATATTACAAAATCAATTAATTTTCCACAAAATATCCAATTTTCTTTTCTTCATTCACTAGAAGATATGTTCTTGTTCATCCCTGTGGTTTGCTTTTTTTATTTGAAGAAAATTCCTTTTTTGGATTGAAGTGTATTTGACTATTTCTTACTTTTCTGGAGTATGATTATTCATGTATTTAGGGTTTTGATATTGACACTGTTGTTTTCATGCTTGATTATAAAATATTGATGGAAAGGTGATATGAATCCAATTTGATATGTAGAAAATCTATTTACAAAGTATACAAGTCATATTTTAATTTGATGAAATATGAGATTGAGGAAATTGTACCATTAGATTTGAATGTTCAATGTTACTATTGGAGCAAACAATCTATGATTATGGATTATAGTTATTAAATTGCATAAGACTCATTGTAAAAGAGAAAGGGTAATTCCGTCACTATCTAAATATTTTAATATTAAAATTTGTGTAACTTAATTTACTGCCCCTAACTCAAATTATGAAGGAGTTGAGCCCCTTTAATTAATTTTGATATTTCCACCGCCCTTAATTCAAATTTTTCCTAATTTTTTTGGGAAAAATCCCCAGACCAAAAAAACGACATCGTTTTTGTCACAATTCATTTTTTTTGGTTAAATTCCCAAGTTATAAAACGGCATTGTTTCAGCCAGCTTTCCCCAAATTAAGCATGAACGAGATGTTATTTTCCTTCTATTCATCCAAGTCGGAGATCAAAAGCTAATGAAGGAATTAACAGGAAAATCGTGTATTTAACAGATTTGTATACGAATTAGAATTACAAATCTAATTGCCTATTCCCTTCTTTGTTTTAGGATTAGGAAATCCTTTTGTCTATAAATACCAACGACCCACCTTAAAATACGAATGAACCAAGAGGACCAACGGACCTGCTCAAGAGCTCGGTGATTTTTCTCGCCTAATGCTCCGGCTATGGACCACAACGATGCCGTGTCAGGGTCCTTGAAAGGGATTTTCTTTAGGCTTAATTCCCACGCTTCCCAATTTGTTGTCATCGAAGAACCAGGCTGACGATCTCTTTCCGGGTAATTTTTTAGCTGTTAGTTTCTTTGATTTTTAAAATTCAAGGTGCGGAGTTTATGTATTTTAAAATAAGAAGAGTGTACAGCCTATTCCTCAGTGTTGATTTTCTTAAACCATTACTCGAACTTGATTCGAGTAATGGTACATTGTGGGAGAAGCTTGAAACGACATTATTCTAACTGGTGTGCAGAGGAAACTCTTTGTCCATTAATTTATGAAGCCGCATCCAGAACTTCAAAAGTGCTTCAATATGTAAGTTGTACCTTGTGTTTGGGATTCATGTTTTTCTCCTCTATGTGTGTGTGACTTCAGTTATAATTTTGTGGCATTATTTTAAATTATTGTTCTCTTCTTTGATGGTATTTTAACAATTTGTGCATGTTTCAGGGCCCTTCTGCTGTCGCCTCTGATGTGGTGCTCTGTTTCGTAAAGGTTCTTGGGTCAAAGAGATTGTCCTTTTAATATTTTGATAGGTTGGATTCTTGTCCTGTTACGGTCGTAAATAGTTTCCTTGAATTACTCTCTGTTCCGGCCCTGAAGAATTTCAACAGTTTCCCAATTCAAGTTTTCATTTAAACCACATTTTTTTTGGGGTTGAACTGCAATAGTTTTGGTATATATGATGTTGGAACCTCTCTTTGTACATAGTTTTCGTTATCACAATTCCAAGCTGTGCTTGTGGATACTTCATTGGTTCGCGTTGTTTCTGTAAGCAACAATCGCAACCAGTATTCATGTTCGAAGTTTTTATATCACCATTATTCTTCTGTGAAAAGTAGCTCAATTCAGCTATAGTAGTTAGGATGAAAACCAAGTACTTACTTCTTTTTATTAGATAGGTTATTTACTCCGTATCTTGACAAAAAATATGAACAATTTTACCAAGAAAAGGGTGCGAAATTTTTCAAATGCATGCTGCACTAGGGTTGCGAGCTGAAAATTACCTCATTTTTTAGCTGAAGTGATAATTTGTTGAATCAGGAAAATTTGTTAAGAGCTCCTTGCTCTTTTTTCTTTTCGTTTTTTCTTCATGGTTGTACCTCGTGGCATGGGATTAAGCCAAACGTTCATAGGTATGCAGAATCATGCGTTAAAAATATAGATTTTGTGGTGTTTTCACTTTGTGGGATTAGTTTTACCATTTTTAGGCCCATGTGCGTACAATTGTGCTTTCTTGAGGATCTTATCTGAAGTAATATCAGAGATCAAATTATGTTGTATGAAGTAAGTGAACTGCATTATTGCTTAAGGTAGATGAATATATAGCATTTTGAGATTTTGAGATTATGCTATTTTGAGATTTTGGGTTCAATCGTTTTGTGTATATTCTATATTAACTGTGATGCCAGTGTCAATTGTTGTATGTAGTGCCTTGGTATACCTTCAGGCCGCCTATGTTTACTAAAAATATGATCATGTATTGGGTGAAAATGAAAGGCAAAAAACAGGGATTGTAAGTTAAAAATAAAATCATGTATTGGATCTTTGTTTGGAGATATTTCAGATAGCATTTCCTGCAGCTCTTGCATTAGCTGCTGACCCTATTGCCTCTCTAATCGATATAACATTCATTGCCCATCTACGTAAGCTTTAGATTACTTAGCTTCTGATTATCCGATATAAATATCATCAATTAATAACACTTTACATATCTGTGTTTAATATCTCAGCTGTTTTCGTAGTTTTTTGTTCTCTGACTTATGAATTTTACGAATATCATCCGTTAAACGATTTACTTGCCTTGAAGCTAGAGATCTCTGAGATATTGGTGTTGGAGAAGACTGTGTGTTCATATTTGAGCTTTTCTAATGGAAAATCCAACTATTGCTTTAAATTGACAAATCCAACTATTGTCACACCTAGCCGCCACTGATGAAGGTAGTTCATTGAAGCTCGAGGATGGCTGTATCCTTGCTGATTACAATATCCAGAAAGAGTCTACACTTCATTTAGTACTGAAACTGCACGGAGATATCATGAGCCCTCTTTGATGGCCTTGGCTAGGAAGTACAATCAGGACAAGATTATCTGCCGCAAATGCTATGATCGCTTGTATCCTTGTACTGTTAACTGCTGGAAGAAAAAATACGGCCACAGCAACCAGCTGAGGGTGAAGAAGAAAAACAAGTAGGTGTTCTGTGGAATTTTTTTTGAGCTCTTCGTACTATGAACAATATTTTGTTTTTGCTGCAACAATTTTGAGATCTAACGTGGGTTATTAGTATAATGATGAACAATAGTTTTTGTTGAAAAAAAAAACAAAACAAAGAAAAAAAAAACAATTAGCATCTTTAAAGAAAGCATGTGAAATACACTTCATTTGATTACAGTTTCTACAAATTTGAATTATTGAGCCCATGTAATCAACTCCTTGTGCTACATGCAGCAAAAGGAAAAAAAATGTTCAATATGTTAAAGATCTCCAAAGGGCGGTGGAGAAGAGGTAACCGTCGAAGACATGTTTATTTGTTGAGCTAAACATAGGTTATGTCGTGATCAGGAACAAACTGGCTCCAAGTATATTTGATTAGAAAGGGAATTCAAGCAAAAGAAATCACTTTGTAAGGGCTTGTAAAATTGTTTTGTACTTTTGTTTTGTCCGGATAAATCAGTTCAAACAAAACAAATCCTCAAGTTGTTTTGTTCTTTATTTGAGAATTCTTTTCGCACTTTACTTCTAAATCCACCATTCACATTTATACTCTTTGGGCAAAACTGGCTTCTAAAGTATTTTACTTGCTGGAAGAAAGTGCGGGATTTAAAATTTAAGATTTAATCTCTCTGCTTGTTTCTCTTTTTTTAAGTGGAAGCTTGAGAAGCTCTTCTAGGAATATCACCCTGGCTTGAGAACCTTACCTGTAACTTATAAATTCTATGTAATTTCTTCAACCGAGAAAAGCCATGGCAATGGAAGAAAAACTACAACATTCATATAATTTGTTAAGTGTAAAGAGAAAAAATCAACCGAACATGGAGTAAAAAAATTCATTAAAGAAAACGAGTAAAAGCATTGATAAAAAAAAACTGGTCGCGCAACGGGACAAGCCTAGTTTATGTGTTATGCCATAGTTTAAAAAATATACCTAGAGTCGCGTACTTAAAAGTTCTGATCAGTGCCATTATAAAATTATATAAAAAAAAAACTATCTTGATGTGGTATAAATGAACTCCCAGTTCTTGATTTGACATTGATGGTAAGGGTGGTGTTTTAGACAACCTCGCCAATTTGGGTTCATTTTTTACATTAATCAATAATCGAACTACCAACCAACCAGAATGGGCTTTTTATTATCCGGGCATTTTTAAGCATATGGAAAGCCATTATTTAATGTGTTGCTTAAGTTGTCTTGGAACAAAGCAAGGATTTGGAAGACCACTGGTCTTGTTAGTCGTAGTACAACTTAGTGCTGCAACTCTACAGCTGCCTCAGTGTGAAAGTGATTTGGCTGCCATGGAAGCTCCACCTGAAAATCCTCCATTCTTGATTCCTATACATCCTGGCTTCAAGGGTGGCGTAGTAAGTTTCTTTATCTTCTTAACCTCCTTTATTTTCTTCTTCTTCTTCTTTTTTCCCCCTTTGGTTTTTGGGGTAACTGATCACCTATATATAGATCTCTATTCACGGGATGATTTTTAATTAATGCATATACTTAAAATGTGCAGAAATTCCCTGATTCGTTCTTGAAGTCTTTAGGAGGGAAAAGTTATCGTCAGGCGGTGTTGAGAAGTGGGAATAAAGAGTGGAAGGTCAAAGTCATTGACCAATATCTTAGAGAAGGTTGGAGTGAATTTGCAACGGACAACAAACTGGATTCTGGAGATTATGTTGCTTTCAAACATGAAGGTGACATGGTGTTTGAGGTTTGGTTTTCGGGTGCTTATGATGAGTTTGAAAAGGAAGATTCATCCGCCATGGAGGATGACGACGACGACGGTGGCAACGAGGGAGAAGGTATTGCAGCAGATCTCGCGGGTGTCAAACAAAACCATTCCAAGAAGATGAAGTCAAGAGGTAATAGTTATATAATCCCTCCGTCCCAAAATAATTGTCTTGTTTGGTTTTTTATTTTCAGAATAAATTTGAAGTATTATTCAGATAAATATTGTAAATGTAATGTTATTGGATCAAGATCCTCTTAAGTAATTTTAGTTTTCTTAAAATAGGGAGGGAGGAGGAAGTATTGTCAACTCCAGCAAAGAAAATTAGACTCTCTTCACATCCTGAAGGACCAGACAATCCTCATTTCATTTATACTGTTAAGCCTTATATGATTAATTGGTCTTTCTTGGTAAGCCATTCTTCCTTTGCTTTCTACCAATTTGATTCTAAATCTTCTAGACTAGTCTTTATCGCTAGATTAGGGCCCTTTTCGCATGTTGAGTACTCTGACTCATAATATGTAAAATATGAGACTCTTCCAACCAAATTTGCGAGAGCAACTGGTTTGGTGGGCCGAAGCTGCGACATCATTGTGAAAGATGCTCGGGATGAAAGATCATGGACTTTGAACCTGGTCACAAACAATGCAGACCAAGTTCGCATCAGAAGGGGATCCAAATTAACTGAACTCTTAACTGCCAGTGGTCTTAAAGAAGGAGACCCCTTCAAGTTTGAGCTAATAGAAAATGGAAGCACGCCAGTTGTGAAGATTCTTCCCTATAACTTTACGGCTGATTCAGCTGGGGTAGAGGAGCCTAAGTCAAAGCCACAGAAGATTGACAAAGGCGAAAGGGCCATCGAGACTGATAAGAATGATTCTTGCCCGTTTTTCCATTCTACCATTATGCCTTATTGCCTCAGTCACAGACAACTACTGGTAAGAATATTAACTTGCAATCATTTCATTTTATACTTAATTAATAAGTGTCGAAAACATGCAATGGGGTGAAATAGACGTTGAAAAGGCCACTTTTTTTTTTTTTTTAAGGTTAGATATTTGATTTCTTAATTACTCTAGAAGCTTTTTTTTTCTCTATATAAGACTTGTAGTCTCTATATAAGACTTGTCGTCGTACATATAACGTATGGAATTATGGGTATCTAAGTTATAGATTTCAAAATGTATCTTAAGTTTTAACCTTCCCTTAAATCCCAGTTTAAAGTAGTAGTATAAATATTGTTTTGCAGCATCTACCATTAAAGTTTTGCAGATCGAATGGCTTGATTGAGAAACTAGAGATGATTCTCATAGATGAGAGGCAAAGATCATGGCCAGTTAAATTGAAGCTAATGGGTAGCCACTTTTGCATCACGACTGGCTGGCAGGAATTCCGGGAAGGAAATGAACTTAAAGAAGGAGATGCTTACAGGTTTGAAATCATCAAAAATGGAAGTAACAAGAAACCTATTGCCCGCTTCACTGTGAGTAATTTATACCGTTTACTTCTTTTTTAACTACTTGCTTTTCCTAATCTAAATCTACAACAACTAGCACAATCATTCACACAGCACAGGGGAAAAAAAAAAAAAAACAAATACACTCCTAACTTTCACTATTTGTCTAAAATCGGTTCTCACTTCTCCGTAATTTCATACTCTTTGGATTTGTTTTTCAAGCTTGTGTCCAAAAGCCCAAGTATGTCGATTAAAAGGGTTCAAAAGGAAAATTCGGCCAGGTTTGAGCCAAAATCCTCCAAGGTTTGTTCATGATCTCTATTTTTGAAATCCTTTTTTCGCATGCATATTGACACATTAGGACACATATTTTATGTCCTAAGATACGTCTCCTATTTTTGTTTTTTTTCCTCCCGTAACAGAACACTTTGACAGAGGCCATGGAGGAGGATCCTCCAGAGTCTACTCCTGTTTTGTCATCACAATCTATCCTAGAGGGAGAAGATGTAGACTTTGGAGTGGACGCCTCACCAATCATGCCGGAAATCAAGTCATCAAAAATACCTTTCTCAATTGAGGATTTGTTTAGTCGAATTGAAGCTGCTAGGAGGAGTAACTTGCGCTCTTCAAGTGAGAAGTCCTTTCCTCAAGACAATATGTCTCTCGATGCAGCTTTACAGACGGCCAACGGTTTCTTATCTTGGGTTCCAACTGATGTTTATGGCCAAAATTCAAGTAAAATAGCCAGCATGGTGGCAACCCTTTTAAATAATTCCCCAAATAATGATGTCAAAGAATCTCTTGTTGCCTTTCAGGAGGAATTTGCCAAGAACTGTGCAGCCTACCCGGCCTATAAGACCAAAGTAGATGCCTATCTCACCTTCGTTGAGCAGATTGATTTGGTAGATAAGAAGGTTGAGGGATTGGAAGGAGACCTAAGGAAAATGACTGAGGATTTGGATAATGTGACATTAAGAAAGCATGAGCTAGAACGGGATTTAGAAGAGTTGACTACTAGAGAGAAAGAGTTAGAGAAGCAGCGTCTCTCCAAAGCAAAGGTCGTAGAGGAAGCCTTATCTGAGTTGCTCTCTCTTCGATCTTCTGAAGCTTCCAAGAAGGAAGAGTTCGATTTGTCCCTTCCTATCGTTGGTATAGCTGATACAGTTTGCAATGATCTGAAAAAGGTACTTCAAAGCTCCTTCCCTATTGTAATCCCGCATGATTCTAGAGATATGGCTCGGGAGCCGAGTGACCCTGCAACTGGATGTCGTCAGTGAGATGCTTTTCTTCTTATGTTATTGTTGAACTCAGTCATACCATGGCCTGTAGTGTTTGTGGCTTGTTGGTGCCTTTTGAACGTCCGTTGATTCATTTGTTTACTTAAGTTCAATTTAGTTGAACTGGCTATGTTTGTGGACTTTAAAAAGTCTTGAATCCTTACCAAAATGTTTATGTCATATCAATTTGGTAGTTCTGACTTGTGCCTAGTCTGTGGCCTATTAAAAAGCTTGAAAAGGAAAACGACTTAAGATTTGTGTAATGTGATAAGCAAGGATGTTAGAGGAGTTGCGCACAATGAAGGTCGTATGTAGAGAGAAAGGCTTAATTGAATTAATCTCACTTTTATCTTCCGAAGCTCCCAAAAAGTAGGCTTTCGAGTTGTCCTGTCCTTTCGCTAGACTACGAACCTCCACTCTTGCCTTGTCATCAATCCGCATACAATTATTTTCTATAATGTTTAGTGAAGTTGAATATTTTTTGTGTAGGTTGAAATTCAATTCGTGATAGTACTCTGTAGGTTAACAAAAACACAAAAAAGTGTGTACCTCTTTAACAATTGAAACTATAATCATGTATGTACGACAAAACAAGGAACAATCTTCTCTTTCAAGATGAACCAGAGGTGATCCATAAAAGTATATTAATCTCATTTAGAGATCAAATATGCCTTGATTCATAGGGTCTCAAAGTCGTCTGAAATTTTGGTATGATGTGACAGGATTCATTTCAATGTATGAATTAGTAACAAGAGATGTCCGATTTGAGGGTCTCACTAGATTGTAATTTGTTGATGTCTTCTTCATCGTGACTCATGACATTCATCGTCTTAAGAACGCAAAAAGTTGCGCTTACTAAAAAAGGATTGCAAAAGTCGTAGTAAAGTCGATATTTTCACACCAAGGTCTTGAATTGGACGGGCGGAGTGGGCAATCAAACCATAATTTTCCCAATACTACAGTGTGGGAATCGTAGCTAGACGACTACCATAACCTAAAAAAAAAAAAAATGAAATCATATTAATTAAACAATTCAGTCCAGCAATGTTACCTTCAATGAAGATAAATAGTGTCGAAAACTTCATTTTGCCTTGATGACTTCATAATTTTGCCTGGCGTTGGGGGTAGCCTGACAGAAACTAGAGAAAGACCCGCTTTATTAAGACTCTGACTAATTCTCTTCCCCATATACCCGCATTCACACTTCTTTCCAATCTGGACCACCCAACTTCACCATCAAGTTGAATTCATCTAACAAATTGTTATAAAAGTTTAATTGAACCTTTTCAATCCTGATTACCATGCACCCGCTGACCCGCAGTACTCCGCTCACTTAGCATGATGATTGCCAGAAATCTGATACTAATATTCTTAGCTTGCTTCTTTCTCACCTCACTAGCTCTCTTCCATGTATGTAACTCTGAACCATTAGCATATTTTTGCCGCGACAATGCAATTTACGACACTAATAGTTCTACTGGCATGACTTACAAAGCCAACATGGAATCCCTCCTTTCCGCTTTAGTTACAAATGCTTCTCAACCAAACGGCTTCTACAATTATACTGTCGGAAGTGGTGGGGACGTGGCCGTCTACGGCCTGTTTCTCTGTCTGGGCGACGTTACTAGTAATGAATGTCAGACTTTCTTGACATTCGCCCAGTCTGACGTATTACGAATTTGCGGGGACAAAAACCAAGGCGTTCTCTGGTACGACTTCTGTATGTTACGGTATTCGAATGAATCCATTTTCTCCTGGCCGGAAACATACAGTTGCAGTTGGATATGGATTTGGTACAATGTCACGGACCCGGTGAAGCTGAACCAAGTTTTAAATGTTACTCCCTCTGTCCCAAAATTATTGTTCAGTTTGAGATTTCACTTTTAATACAATTTGAACTAGAAATGAAAACTCAAACTGGACAATAATTATGGGACGGAGGGAGTACATTTGAACAGATAGTGATTCGGGCTGCAAAAGGCGATCCGAGTTCGGGCAAGAAATTCGCGGTTCAAGAAGCTGATTTTACGCCGCCTCACAAGATTTACGCAATGGGGCAGTGCACTCCTGATCTTTCATGTTCCGGCTTTGAATTTTGTCTTAGACAAGCTGTTAAGAATCTACCCGAGTGCTGTAGTAATCGAGAAGGAGGTCGTTTTTTTTATCCGAGCTGTAATATTAGGTACGAGATCTATCAATTTTACCAGGTTTACCTCCCATCTTCCCACTACCACCGGAGCCGCCCGCAGCTCCGGTTTATCTTCCTCCGCCTCCTCTTCATCCTGGTCCTCCAACTTAATTAGAACTGTTCTAATTAGAACTGTTAATCGCCTCCGCCTCCTCTTCGGCCAATAATGATTTTCAATTCATCTCCAACGGTTCTAATTGAATTTTATAACATAATTACCATTATAAACCAAGATTTTCTAAAATCATTTGGCCGAAGAGGAGGCGGTTTATCAAATTGTCGCGTATGAATTCTTGCCGGATCAATGAAAATGCCAGTGATGATGGAAATGATATGATCCGGGAAGAAGTTTCGTAGTGCCTGAATTCTCCATTGGCCTGTTGGAGTAATGAAGTGATTAACCCTGATATTTGCTGTTGTCAAAACAGATTAGGGACTAATAAAATTAGAAGTTCATGACATCCAGTTAGATGAAAGGAGAGTATCCTTGCTAGAGATGATTTTCCATTTCAGATTCCCTTGTAATAGCTCCGCACCCTATAAAATACTTCTGAAATCCCCAAGAGAGTTTTTTTGGGTGTGGCTAAAGAGGGAAAGGTGTCATCTCATAAAGAATCTGGCCACGAGCAAATTTGGTTCCATCATCATTTTCCAGGCATGTTTTGTTAACAAAACTTGGTTGAATTCTTTTGTGGATTTTAAACACAAACCGCCATGGAATTGTGACTTAGTAATCTTCTTCCATGCACACTGGTGAATCTTATGTTCTTGGATATCCCCTTTCCAGATAAAATTTATAATGATCTTATCAGCTTTGTCCAGTGTATGTTGTGGAAGTCGAAAGATACCCATAGGATAGACCAACATGGAAGAAAGCGTAGATTTTGCAAGAGTAACATGACCCGAAAGTGAAAGGAGCTTGGTTTTCCAAGATGCAAATTTGGTACTGATTCGAGTAGTAAATTGCTGAAAGATTGCTATCTTATTTTGAGAAAAATCCAAAGACATCCCAAGGTATTTATTGTGGAAAGATCCCCTTGGTATATTTAGTGTAGTGTGAATCAGGTCCTGCATTGCTGGATTGGTATTATCACTTATCAGGATTGAAGATTTCTATAGATTTATCTTCTGACCTGAGTAATTAGTGTAATTCTCTAACGGACCAGCAAGAGCTTGAAAGGCTGTCGGGGTACACTCAATGAAGAAGAGGCTATCATTAGCATACATGAGATAACTCAGTCTTAGGGCATGACGGCGGAATTTAACTCCCAAACCAGAAAATGTTTGAATTTTTGTTTAGATAGCTGAAAAAAGAACTTGCTGACAAAGAATAAAAAGGTAGGTGATAAAGGACAACCTTGTCTCAAGCATTTATTCGGAAGAAAAGGTGGAAAATTTTCACCATTCAAGAGAATGGAGTAAGACACAGAAGTGACACAGCGCATGATCAGAGTGAGTAGTCGAGAAGGTATGCCCACTTTGGTAAGCACTGCTTTAAGAAAGGGCCAAGCAACACGGCCATATGCTTTGCTCGTATCAAGTTTGATGACTGCTAAACCCAAATCTCCTTTTTTTGGGACGAATCGACTCTAGCACTTCATGAGCTATGAGGATATTCTCACTGATATTTCTGCCTGGGACGAACCCATTCTGATGATCATCAATGAGAGAATTCATTACCTGTTTCAAATGATTCGTAATCATTTTGGTAATGATTTTGCATTTGACATTGCATAGACTAATGGGACAAAAATCATTCTGTGTCAAAGGAGAAGCAGTTTTAGGAATCAAAGCCAAGTTGGTCTGATTCCATTCTAGAGGAAAAGTCATTGTGGTGAAGGCAGCCAGAATTGAAGTCTCTACCTCCTATCCAATGATGTCTTTATAATGCTAGTAGAAACCCGCCAGGTGATTTCCAAGGGGACATTTGATTGATTGCTTTCCATACTTTATCCTATGTAAACGATGCATCCATAAGATGAATCTGATCTGAGGTAAGAGTCTCATCCACATTATTTAACATAGAGGTAAAAAAGAAAGAGTCCAAAGTCTCCTGGGAAGCGGTCAGTGGTGACATATAGATGGTAGAAAAATGTGCTTGAAGAAGAGAAGCACTTTGTGCATAATCTTGGAACCAGACTCCTTGATCATCACAAGGTTCATTAATCAAGTTATTATCTTTTCTCTTTGCCGCCCAATTGTGAAAGAATTTAGTATTCTTGTCCCCCAACTGTGACCAATTAATTTTAGCCCTCTGATGCCAGTATTGCTGTTGAAGGAATAGAGGTTTTGTTTATTTCTTTTTCTTGATGGTATTTTCAAATTAAATTATTAATAAATGTCCCATCTCAGCATACCTTTTTACCTTTCCAATACAACTTTTTACATTTCTAATACAAAAACACCTAAAAACACACACTAAAAAACAAAACAAACAGACCGAGAGCTTATTCTAATTCAATATCCTGAGTTTCTAGAGCACTAATCAACTGTGAATTAGTCTTGTCAGCTTTCCAGTGAATTTGAGATTGAGTTAACTTTTCAGTTAACTTATGAACTAAGGAATCTAGATGACCAAATTTGGATTTACTCCATTGGTGAAGTTGAGATAAGGTTTGATGGAGTTTGGAGGATAAATGTTCCTGTGGATCAGGTATATGAAGGGAGTGTGATGACCAAGCCTGTGTGACCAAGGGTTTAGAGGTAGGACAACTAGACCATAATTGTTCAAACTTTGGTTTTTTTTGGTCTATGCTTCTGCTTAATGTCAAGCAATATTGGACCATGATCTGATGCCATGATAGGAAAATTTCTAATAATTGCATTCCTAAAGGTTGTAAGCCAGATCTTGTTAACAAAGGCTCTGTCTAAACTTTCAAAGATTGCATCCGAACCTTGGCGTTTGTTGGTCCAAGTATACCAACAACCCAAGTGTTTGAGCTCCTCCAAATTATTTGTTGAAAGGAATTGATTAATTGCTCTGGTATCTTGAGGGCGAACTGGTCGACCACCATGTTTATCTTTTTGCTCAACTACCTGATTAAAATCTCCTAAGATAATGCTAGGATAGTGATAACCTTGGATGATTCCATTTGGTCTAGACCAAAAGAAGGCCCTTTCCTGCATAGCAGAAGGACCATACACAAAAATGGCCATCCAAATTAATCCAGTTGCTTCTGTGATTTGAGTGACTATCACATGAGCATCCTGGAACACAACAGAAAGTTTAATACTAGCTAAACAAAAGAGACCCAGGCCCCCACTACTGCCTACAGGGTCTACTACACTACTATTCTGAAAAACAGAGAACTGGAGCCAAGCTGAAATATTAGAGTTTGTAGCTTTGGTCTCCATAACAAACATAATACTAGGTTTATAGTTCTTAACTAATTTCCCTAACATACTCTTAGATGAGGCATTATTCATGCCTCTATAGTTCCAACAGATTATACTCATTTAAACAGCGGCAGTTGATCTGGTTCAACCATCGCAAAACCATTCAGCTGAGCTTTGGCACTTGTGTCTACTCCTCCAGATTCCCATGCCACTTCCAAAGCTTTAAACAGATTCTTCACTTCCTCATCTACCTCACAGCCAGTCTTCTTCTTGCCAGGCCTCTCTAAACTGGTCAGGGAATCATCAGAACCTCGCTTCCTGCTGTTTGTGGAAGTCTCTAAAGTCACAGAATCCTCCTCCTCGTCAAACTCATCATCTTCAACTTTCATTCTCCAGCCAATAGAATTACCACCTCCTAAGGGCCAGCTATGTCTATCAGGCGCTGCGGTTGAGATAGAATGGACACTGGAAGACCTCAAAGGCATCTGAGGGAGATCTGGTATGTCTGATTCAGAAACTGCCCTTTTTGCTATCATACAAAGGTCATCAACATCACTATCTATCTGTGAGAGATCATCTGATAGTGGGAGGAGAACCGAGGTGGAAGTCAGAGTTTGGTGGGCCCCTTGCTTCTTGAAAGAGCAACGTCCTAGAGTAGCAACTGAAATAGATTTTCTTTTTGTGAAACCATCTTCCCCTGAGGAAGCGGAAATATAGGCCCTAAATCTAGTCCTGACACTATCCAAGGAACAAGAACTTACATGGTCACTTACATGCTCACTATCACTAGAATCAACACTTGATTACAAACCAGCAAAAACAGAATTGGGAGAGGTATCATGTTAAGGTGGGTAATCAGGAACATTGGGGATAAAAAAATCCGATACATATGACTGATCATTTAACATGTTCTCAGATGGAGGCACATCCGAAATCTCATAAAACAAGGCAGGCATATAAAAATCACTCTCATCATCAGAGAAACCATGTGTAGTATTTTGAGAAAAGTCAGAATAATAGGAAGAAAGGGAATAGAAACTATTACCTTGGCCAATAGAATGTAGAGAGTGAGAGTCCTCCCCTGCAGCAAGAGCTGCCATTCTAGAATAATCTATCACAGCATTAGCATATCTGTTGATTCTGCCATCCAAAGGAATTGGGGGACCATCATCATCGTAAAAATTGTCCGCATTGAAGTCAGCCATTTAATGATCATCATCCATATTTGCTCCGCCAGCACCATTGTTATCATCAGAATCCAAATCATCTAGATCATCGTCATCAGGATCTGAGTTCTTACCAACATTATTGTCATCATCCAGATTTACTGTCACTAGGATTATGGGGGGCCCACGGATACCAAGGTGTAGGAGCATCTTCTTCTAGTTCTGAGATTGTAAATCCATCTTGAATATAATCATCTAGCACAGAGTCATAAAATCAAGCATCTGTTCTACCTTATAACCGGGCAGACGAGTGCACCGTTTCTTTTTGTGCGCATGTGCCCTGATAGATGCAGTATACCATGGCTTGTTAACATCAATTAACAGTGGGGAATAAAACTTAGCAGCCCTTGCAGCAAAAAAGTTATTCAGGAAGGTGGTTAAGGTATCGTCATCCATCATATAGCACCGTGTAAAAGGGTGACCCAACCGTCCACACCGCTGACAATACTTGTGCATATTATCAAACTTACAATGAATTTTAGCCATTTTGCCATTTCTTTTGGTGAAATGAAAATAAGGAACTAAAGGGTCACCTGGTTTGATCCACATCTTTGCTCCGACATATGTGGATTTTCTCAGAGAGACACAATCCTGCTTTATAACTGCTACTTCAACAATACGACTTGCCAGATCTTCAAGAGCCCTGTAATTTATGGAGGTGATTGGCATTCCATGCTTGCGAACCCGAATGCTCAGTTTTTCAATCTTGATACTATCAAGGGCCAGATCTTCGTGATCATAACATCAGCAAAGAATCAGTAGACCGCCATTGACAGGATAAGGGCCATTATCCAGGATAGCCATCATTTCAGATCTGTTCATAAACTTTCGAACAAAGAAGTTTCTATCATAATGAAGCACACGTACGTTACCTGCCAATTTGCATTCATGTACTGTTGCATGATCTTATCATCCACTTCCAAGTCATCAATCAAGTAGCCCAAGAGAGATAACTTCATATTCTCTCTAGACAGTCGAGTATGATAATCTATGAGTTGCATGTTGCTAGAACGAAAGAAGGGGCGAGGAATCAAGTGCGGATCAGGGTCAATCACAGAACGAAGATCATGCTCCTCTTCTGAAAAGTTAGAGCCTTGTAGAGACATGCTTGTTACTGAATTTTTATCCATTGCATGTCTATAATTCATCTTGAAAAAAAAGAGATCCAAACCCGAATTGAATAAAACAAAAGCAAGAGAGAAAGATTGGGGTGACGAAAAGGACAAGATTTTAAGACTTTTTGAAAGAGTAAAGACACCAAATAGAACACTGTGGACAGAGAATGTTTGGAAACAGTATTTATGAGATGAAGACAAAATTATTTCAATTAAAAAGAGCAGAAAGGAGTTCAGATTTGGGAAAGTAGTGTGAAAGTAAAATGAATAAGACCAAAAGGCGGAAGCCTTTATGACTTGAATCTAGGAAATATAAGTTACTCTGGAAAGTTGAAAGATTTGTTAGGCTCAAGAAAAGGAGGCAAGCAATTTTGATAACCACAATTACTTATAAAGAGGAAAATCATAAGCAGAAAGGATTTGTGCAAACGCTCATTTGATGATTAAATTTATCGGTTAAATTGACCACTAATTGCATAGCCGCCAAATGGAAACCAATTGAAAATTCCAGGACAGAATCTAGTTTACAAAACCTTGTGCTAGATCAGAATTTGTGAAGAAAACTAGATCAAAGATGGATTGATAGGAAAATAATAGGATTAAAAATTATGGAAGTGGAATAGTGAAGTAGAAAGTGGAAAAAAATTGATAGTATTGTCGTCAAGGTGTTTTCCTTTTGTGGGAGAATAAACAGGACATTCTTTCTCTAAAATTTTAAGAGAGAAAGACGACCGTGAGTAACTGATTTTCGCCCGCACTCTTCTTGAATATTTGATTAATAAGGCAATAAATTTATTCCTTTAATTTGATTCATCCATTTAGTCATGTCCTTACTTTTCAACATTTGCGTTGATCCATTAGTACCACATTGGCTTTTCAATAAATTAAACAGCCATTTCTAAATTTGCAACTCAAGCAGTACGATTAGCATCTTGGAACCATCAATTGATTACATTAACATCTTGGAACCATCAATTATTTGCAGGCTTGGAGACTTCGGAGAGATGGAACACCAATACCCATCGCTCGATCCGCGCATTAGTGAATCTTAAGATAAAAAAGATGTGATTCAATGTATTCGCATTGGCTTACTATGTGTTCAAGAAGATGTTGAACTCAGGCCTACCATGGCTTCAGTGGTTCTGATGCTGAATAGTTACTCTGTTACATTGCCAACTCCGAGTCCGCCTCCATTTTTCAGCCGTAGCTGACGATCAAGAGGGGTTCCCAGTAGATCAGCCGATACCACTATCTGATCAACCTTCAATGAATATAGTCTCCATCACTGGACTTATACATAGATAAAAGAGAGGCTTAGAAATCAAAAGGAGCCCTGAAATACATCCATTTGTTTTGCTGTTTCATTTGTGATTTGTGTGGATTGTACGTGTACTCAAATCTGATGATCATCTCAAAATTTATTTTGGTGGTGTCCCTTTTTATTACAAAAAGTTTAGCCTAATTAGGGAGTGTTAAAATATGGCGAAGTATGCCTCATATTCTGATTTGCCATAAAAGTTTAGCCTAATTATTAGGACATTGACTAATGAATTACATCATGTGGCTATAAGGAAGAGAGAGCTAGAGGAGTTGCAAAGTACACTTTTCTGTCTAAAACATAGTCTACATTATAGATAGTTTGTTAATTCTACTAAAAACGATATAATTAATAAATTGTAATGTAGACTGTTTTTCTAGGGGACCAGCGACTCTCCACATCTTAGGTTGTGAAAGAAGCCTGAACTAATTTAGGATTTGTTTGTTTTGCTTTTTTTAGTGTGTGTTTTGAGGTGTTTTTTGTATTGGGAATGTAAAAAAATATATTGAAAATGTAAAAAAATGTGTTGGAATGGGACATTTATTATTATTTAATTCTGAAAAAACCAACTAAAAAAAGAAAACAAATAAAGCCTTAGTCTTTCATCGATGTACTGAAACCTCGAAAAAAGAGGAGTTTGAGCTGTCTTGACCGGTCGTCTCTATGGATAATACTGCTTGCAAGAATATGAAGGATGTACTACAAAGCTTCCCGCTTGTTTTCCCACATTTTGTTTTGTAGGCTTGGCTGAGGAGTCTAGCCATCCTGCAACTTGATAAATCAACTCTATCACTTATTTTACCTACTTATGTATGCTGTAAGTTAAGTCTTGATTCCCTCTTATGAAATGATTAAGGATATGTTTGAAGTATTTTTTATATTAAAAAATATAAAAATATATGTAGAGATGAGATTATTATTAATAAAAAATTTTAAAAAAATCAAACAGAGCCTAAAAAGTTAGCCCTTGTTTGTTTGGTTTCTCTTTTCTGTTTCTGTTTCATTTTACATATTAACTATTATAAAGTTTTAAAATTGGTCACTAAACTATTGTTTGTAAAGTTTTAAAATTAGTCACTAAACTATTGTAAATTTGGTTACTAAATTATTTTGAACTTTTAAATTTAGTCACTAAGTTTTAAATCTAGTCACTATATTATTTCACTTTCAAAAATAGTCGCTTACTTTCAAAAAGTTTTTCAAATGAAAAACTAAAACGAAATGACGTCCAAAGAAGAGCTTAATGATTGGTTGTATCTTTGGTCAACAACAATTGTTTATTGCTCAACAAGCACTTTTTCCTTGGCGTGTTGAGCTTTCCTAACCGGGTTCATTCCGTATATCCGTTATAACTGGAAAAAGAAAGAAAGGAAAATATTCGCTCGTGTCCTTATCCATTTGCACTGTTTTGCGTTTGCTTCCTTCGGATGTTATTTTGCTTCCGTGCTGATGCAGATTACCGCATTGTAAACTATTGTTCCAACGACACATCTTACAACATAAACACTGCCTACGGTCGAACTTACAAAACCAACCTTGATAGCCTCTTTTCTTCTCTGATCTCGAATTCATCTCAACCGGATCGATTCTATAATCTCACCGCCGGCAGCGGCGACACGACCGTTTACGGTATGTTTCTCTGCCGGGGCGATATTACAGACGGAGAGTGCCAAAATTGCACGACCAGTGCCCGGAACGAACTCTTAACCCTATGCCCCTACACAAAACAGGCTATTATTTTGTGGGGGTTATGTATGTTACGGTATTCAAATCAATCCATCTTCGCCACCAGGGATTTAACCGGCCCAGCTTACATAACGACAACTGGGAATGTGTCGGATCCGGCGTCGTTGAACCAGGTTTTAGGAAACGCGTTTCATCAGATAGCTCTCAAGGCTGCATACGGTGATCCTTCGGGGGGAAAGAAATTTGCGGTTCAAGATGCCAAATTGACGGATTTTCAGAGGATTTACGCTCTGGTACAGTGCACTCCCGACCTTTCGGGTTTGGATTGTGAAAGATGCCTTACAACTGCGACAGAGCATTTGCCCGATTGCTGTGGTTATCGAACTGCTGGTTGGGTTCTTTATCCCAGCTGCTATATCAGGTACGAGACATATCCGTTTTACCGACTTCCATCACCTCCGGGATCGCCGCCAGCGCCATTGCCGCTGGCGCCCCCACCTTCCCAAAGGCTTCCACCTCCACCAGGTCCTGCAACTGCAAGCGGCAAAAGTAAGCCCGTCAATTATTGCGGTGTGTGATGTGATGTTCTTATAAATTAGTTCTAATTTTTTATGCATTGATGATGGTGTGAAGGTTTCTATTCATAAGGCCCAATTTACAACTAAGGCTGTTTGATAAAAATTATTGCTTAATTCTGAATGCTTAATACTGAATTAGAAATGCTGAATTCATTAAGTAGTTACAGAATAAGTAAT